GTTACCTATTGTTTTAATAGTTTTTGTAATGTTTCTATTGTTACATTGGAAAAATCATGATCAATTAAAAAGATGAAACAATCTATGAATAGCACATGGAAGATAGATTCTATAAGTTAGCTGTTATTGTATCTAATTAAGTTTTTTTGTTTGTTCTGAATAACAGCAGAAAGAATTTGCATTTTACAAGTGACATTATTTTTGCATTTTATATTAATTTAAAAATTAAAACACCTGTTTTACTTACATTTAGAAACCTTTTTTTCCTTCCTAGATATTGTATTTATCTGCCACTTAACAGGTAAAATCATTATGTTTATTTTGTGATTGAAAGCTATCATAAATTGTTGTGTTTTTTTTGTAATTCATTTTATTTCAATTTAATACTTTTTTTTTTTCAATGTTTTTTTGAGGTTGCTTTTACTTTTGATGCTTTTTTAAGTTTTATTCTTTTTATAAGCTGTATTTTTTTTCTAGAGTTGCAAGGGGAATGACCTGAATCTGTATCCTGTGCCTGAACAATCATACTGGAATAACTAAGTTAGCTTGTTTCGATGAGACTTTACAAAAAGTAGAACCTTCTCTGTCTGCAAATGAATGCAAACTGAAGCCTTGTGGTGCACAGCTCAGTAACAAATTATTCCCCCACTTTGATTTATGGCATATATTCTGGAAGATGCAGTTCCTTTCAGATGTTAAGTGGCAATGTTCTTTTTATTATTTTTTTGTTATTCAGTAATGCCATTTTGGAGTAATCTTTTGATCAATCAGACTAGTGCATGCATAAACTATGCACAGTATATTTCCACTGGTAAACTTTCTGGGAGCTGTAATTTTTTGATGTATATTCTTATAAACATACACTTATATATAGAAATACATACATACGTATTTGTGCTAAAATTTATGATGCTTTGCTTATTCACTGATAATCAAGAAATAAGGCCAAGCTCATGTTTTGCTGAGGTCTCTTTCAGCAGTTTTGGGATAGGGATTTGGAAAGAATGTGTTCTGGGAACTAATCATTTTTTACTCTGCTGTAAATTAAAACAGTGGTTTCTAGGTTAGGTAAGGTTTGTTTGAGATCAAGCAGCTCCTAAGAGTTTTCAAGGAAAATACATGCTATTGTACAGCAAATAGAATTCTGCTGATAATGAACTTTACCTTTCACAGAGAACAGAATGTCATCGGCTAGCTTTGGGAAACACTGGGTTAGTACCTCTAAGAATGCCACGTGACCACTCAATGGTAGGCTCATCTGAACAGCCACAAAACACTGTGTTCTAGCAGCTTGTCCCAGAAACGGACACTGTGAAGTTAGCATTTCTTGATTTGCTTCCCAAGGTATCTCCTCTATTTGTTACTTGTAAGAATTTTCAACCTTTTGGGCAACTGAATCCACTTCCATTCCAATGGCATGACTTGAAGAAGCCCTAAGAAAGCAGTCAGGGGTCTTGCTCATCACTACAGTTCTGTAACTGCATGTTGTGTGGAGATAACTGAACTAGTGTTATGCTATCTATCCTTCTAGTAATGGCATCATGGCTGTGGAACTACATCAAAAGTGCAAACCCCTTTTCAGAACAGGGAAACCATTTGGGCGATTAGCCCAGGCAGACCTCTGCTTTATTTCTTACTATCAGCTACACGGTCAGTCTCTAGACTCATCTAACACAGTATTCCCACTCAGTAATATCTCCAGGAGAGAAAAGACTGAGGACAAGACAAACACATTAAGATAGTCTTCCACATAACTCAACTAGCCTTCAGTAATAAGCTGCTTATTCCTAAGCCAAATGTGGATTTTTCCCCCTATGAATTTCCCTAATCTCTTATTCAACTCATGTCAAATTCTGGCATCCAGCACATCCTGTGTCAATGAGTCCCACAATTTTCCTGTGTGCTGTACAGAAAATTACTTCCTCTTACTGAATTTGAATTGCCTTCCCTCTAATTCAATTTGATACCCCTTAATCTTGCATGAAAAACAGTGACATTGAAGAGTGGAGAAGTATTCCTTAATTGTATTGTCTAGGCCAGTCATGGTGTGGGGTTCTATAAAACACCCTTCTACCATCCAGTCATCTGAAAAATTTTAGCCCGTTTTATAAATCCTGATATGGAAATTGTTCTATTCCTCCTTGCCATATTGTGCTCCTTTTTCTCTCTTGTTTTTTGAGTGGCTCAATGAGCTTTGCGGCCTGTACAATTACAGGTGAGAACAGTTGGATGCATTTTTTGTAGTTTTTACTAAGTTCATGCTTCACTGGATGTTGCTGTTGATATACCAGTTTAAAATCAGCTGGGCAATTTAGATATTTGGTTTGGTCTTGTGGTGGCATTGTAGTAGTTAAAACACTCAACATCACTAGATCCAAAAGACAAGTAAAAAAATGAGTTTGGCTGAAAGAGAAAAGAGCAATGATAAAGACGAAAATATTTTAATTAGAATATGTGTTTGTGTCTCTGTATGCATATATACAAATAAAAACGCAGGTGATGTTAAAGTACTATGATAGAAATAAGCAATGGAAAATATCTTCATTAAATAGCTTTGAAGAAATTGTGATTCTTTTGCAACAGATGGCTGCTGAACAGGTGTGCTGGCTCAACTTATGTCATTCTCATGGTAATGTTTCCCTACATAGGTTTTGAACTGTTGGGTGTTAAAGGCTCAATCCTAACAGAGCTATTCAAACCAGATTGTGCTTTACTCCGTAATTCCAGTTTTGGTTTCTGAATTAATTATTGTCTGATTTAGAGAGGAAAACAGTGGAAAAAAATGGTCAACTCAATTTCCATTGCCTCAGTTTACTACTGGAAGCATCTTGCTGATTATAGCAAGGGGGAATGTTTATTTCTGATCAGCTTACTCTGTGTAGGGAGTTGCTGAGCTGAAAAGAATTGTAAAATCAAGATATAGAAGAACTATAATTTGATTGGCCAGAAGACTAATCTTTTAAAGTTTTATGTTTGGACTGAGCTGGTGTTCATGCCATTCACAATCTAGAACTGATACAGTTGCACAGGCTTATTAGTCTATGCTAATCAGACTTTTGATTTATTTTCTTTGGAAACTCCATTGCATGAAACAATTTCATTTTGTGAGACCAATGAACACCTCCATAAGTCAGTATTTTTCAAACTGTGATTCAGCAGTGGATGGCTAGAAATGCCAGAAAATTGATCAGAATCAATGATCTCTTGTAAAGCATTGCTTCAAGTTGGCTGTCATCTGAATTGAACACTCTTGTTAACTATATCCTTCTTTGTAATATCTTTTTTATTGTCACACATATTTTGCAGGGATGATACTATGCATTTAAAAGATATAATTAGAGATGAATTTTTTTTGTTAAATAATTATGGGGCAAACCAGCCAGCCGCTGGTTTGGATTTCACCTTGTTGTGGATCTGTTTGGTGCAACACCATTCATCTGCCAGGTCACACTGGGCAGCAAACAGCTGGTACCCCACAGAGTGGCCTGGAAATAATTTAACTCACTGATCATCCCTCAAGAAGAAACAAATAAAATTGCATCAGGATTGGATCTTCTTACTACATTTCAAGTGGGTCCATGGTTGTGTTTGACTAAAAACAAATAAAAAGACCCAACCAACCAAAAATCAAAAAGAAAAAAAAAAGAAACAAAGAAAAAGAAAAGGAAAGTAAAAGACAAAACAACCAAAAGCTTTATAATAATGGAGATTCTGGTACTGCACAAAATAGAAGTTAAACCTCTTACACTGCTGTACGTGCATTGCTGATGAGGGATGTAATGATATTCATATGAAGTGTTTAGCTGAAAGTTACTTAGTGGCTGAACAGGACATACATCTCCAAATAGCCCATACTATTTTTGTTACATTTTGACTGAGATTCTGTAGACATTAATTTCTGTATTTGAGAAGAGCAGCGTCATAAAGATTTGATCACCTGAAAGTGTGCTTCAATCCTGCCAGACCCATTTAATTCAGTCACTACCACGAATAAGCAGGTTTAGCCAGCAAGGAGTGCTGTTGTGGATAACGGAGGAAAGTTACTAGAAACAGAAGAACTACAGCAAAGGATTTGGGGTTGAGTAATTGTGCAGGTGGAGAGTAAATAAAAGGAAATAACATTGGCATGAAGGATGTGAGAGTGCTGGCGTGGGAATACAGGGGAACTAAAAGGTTCTTGGGAGGATGTGGACATGCAGCTAGAGATCCTTGTCCTCCTCTCAGCTCTGCCTTTCCTTTACTCATGGGAATAGATGCAGTTTGGAGCCAGGGGAATGAAATCCCTTGAACATGTGCTGCATAACTTCTGCCACTTACACAACATACATGAGGCTCATTTCAGCCTTGATAGGTTTATTGGAACTTCCCCAGTTACATATATTAGCAGGGAGTAAATCTAATAAAAAATGTGTTGGCTAGATTGGCTGTACTTAACTTTTATCACATGTATATTGAGAGAGAAATTCATTTCCAAAATTATTCTATGAGACAGATTGTGTGGCCATAGAGCTTAAGTATATTCATTAACTTTGCCATCAACCTAAATAAATTTTTATTTTATGTATGTGCAAAAACATATTGTGTGCACATTTGCTGAAATACTAACTGAGCTGTCACATCATTAGGAAAGTTAAAATAAAGGATTTTGGTTCTGTTTATGATAGGTAATTGTCATAGTTTTTTTGTAGTGCCAAAATTAACGTATACTTCATTTAATGTACAGTACATTGTGTAATGAAATGTAGTATTCTAATTAAAACCTAGGGATTTAGCTTGGGTTTATTGTTTGTTTCTATTTGTTATCATTAATTTAACAACTCTCTCATTGAAATCATTGTCTACCAGTAAATATTAAAGTGGTAATATCCCAGTGATAATTCAGTAGGGATATACAGTGTTTTATTTGCCATAATCGTTACAGGAAAATTAATTGAAATGAGTGCTCTTGCTGCCTTCATAGTGTAGACAATTGAGTCTATATTTCTGCATATCATTTTCAGGTTTGGAGATGGCTATTCTGTCAAAGTTTGGCTTAGCAAAGAAATAAGCTATCGAAGAATGATTTTGGATTGTCTAAAGCTGCATTTTCCTGGAGCACAATTTAAGGTACAGTTAAAATTCCTCATTATAGTAATTATTGTATGGCAAGCTTAAGAGTGGGCTGATAAGAACAATGTTTATATGTGTTTAAATACATTGATTTTTCTGAAGAAAATATGCATGAGCATCTCTTTCATTTTCTTATTAAGCATTTGTTACACATCTGACTTGTGATATTGATTAAATCAATTCCAAAGTATTTCAAGCAGCATAAATATATAGGTCTTTTCTCAGAGTAATAAATTCTCTTTGATTTTATTGTGGACCAAGTTGAACTTGTACTTGCTTTGATTGGTTTCTCAGTGTTTAAAGAGATTCTTTTATTTGATATGGAACCTTCCAAAAGACCTACAGTAATTAGATTTCAAAGGAATTTAATTCTTAATTTTTATTTTTTAATATGTTATCTTTGTTTGGAAAAAAAAAAGTGAAACTATGAATGCCTTAGTTATGAACCTTCTTGCACATATGTTTATTCATGTTTGTGCATATTCATATACACATATATATAAATGTCATACATATTTTATATAATAGATATATAATATCTATCTATCTATCTATCTATCTATATACACATATATATATATAAATGCACACTATATATGAGTTTTTAAATATATAAATTTTTTTTCCAGGAAGCTTATCAGTAAATGAATAGCATTAAGAGAGAGAGAGAGTTCTGTCAGGTTGAAATTAAGTTTTGTTGTTGATTTTTTCTTTAAAGATGATGAGCATCCTACTGCAGAAATTGTTAGTAAGAATTCTTTTATATCTTACCCCACTGCATTATAAAATATCCTTTCTTTACATTTGTTCTTTGTTAGTTCAGTGCAAGAATCAAAGGCAATATGTGATATACAAAAGCTCAAATAAAGTCCAGAGATTTACAGAAACCTTCCCTTTTTTAAATACCAGCTACTTTTTGCTATAATGGTGAGATGATCCAGTATTTTTTTCCTTTTGTATTATTGAAATAGTGTGTAGTCAAAATAGTCATGTGTATGGGTAGGCTTGCAGGTAAACAAATAGATTTAATTTTTATTTACTGCCTTATGTCTTAGATGACTATATAAGTACTACCATCAGTTGAATTTAAAGCATATAGCATAAAGGTGTCCTAAATTTATATATCTTTTATTAAGTTAACAAAATGCAATCTCAAAACACAAAATGTGTGTCTTCAGTAGATAAAATATGTTCTTGTTTAAAAGCTCATGTTTTTCATGTTTCATGTAGCTTTGTGAGCCTACTGAGACCAGTCTGGTTATAGCAAGCACAACTTCATCATCATGTATAGTCACCTTTATGTATTTTTGTTGGTTTTGCTTCTTTTAAGGGGCAACATCTTAACCTGCTTGAGTACCATGTACCACGAAGTGAGGGATGCCTAGCTGAGCTCTTCAGAGTCCTAGAGAACTACAAAGCTTTTCTCCAAATCAAACACTATTCCATTAGCCAAACTACACTGGAGCAGGTATTTTCTTCTTCTTCAGCAGTTCCAGACCATCTCAGGTCTACACAGTAATCACATTAACCTTATTGCTCTTACACTGTGGATAAGCACAAAACAACATGAGAAGGCGCGTATATGGTTGGACTGGATGATTTTGGACTGGATCTTTTCCAATCTTGGTGATTTTGTGATTCTATGGTTCTATGATATTTGCTATGAATGCAAGCTTAATCACTGTTTAAATACATCTGATTTGTGCAGGGTGAGAGGGTGGGACTGTGAACTGCCACCGCCACAGATAGTTGAGATCCTATTAATGCCCTTCAAAAGACTGAACAAGTCTGATAATCACAGTAAATCTTAGGCTTACAGGCCATTTTCCTTTGCGGGTTTTCTTTTGCAGTACTACAATACACAATAGAGCATAGTAGAAATGCACAAGCAGACTGAAGAGATCCTGCTATTAGTGACTGTGAAATCCTATTTGGGCAGAAGGAACAAGAAATCAATAGCAAGGATGACATTTCTGAATTGCTGTGATGTGTTTGAGCATCTTGTATGTAACTTCTTGTGTATTCTGCAAACTGAAGGAGTTGCATTTGGTCAAAATATTAATTTTGTATGATAAATGGTGTGAAGTTATTCCTTTTACAAATCATTAATGAAATATTCTGATTTGTACTAATCTTTTTAATGGCTTTTGAATTATCTGTTCACAGAATGGATGAATATAAGGTGATTTGAGCCTGATGATCAGGAATAGTTCATGCAAGCTTTACTTCTCTGCATTATTCATGGTGATTCATCACCTCAGTCACCTACTATTACTTCTTCCCCAAGACAAACTGAGTGTCATTTTTAAACAGTTTAAATAGTTCTCTTGAATAATAAACATCCTTATTATTCACTCCAAGTTTGTTTGCACATGAATATGATCATTTGAATCAAGAATAGCCATCTCTTCTGCTCCATTCCTTGCTGTCAAATAGTTGTGTGATTAAAAAGCAAACAAGCCTTTCTGTAGTAAGTTCTGTTTAGAAATATATATATATATATATATATATATATACATAACGGAGGCATGTGAGTTGTTGAGTAGTCAGTGTGCAGTGCACAGAAGTATACCTTTGCCTTGAAGTCTCTGGACCTTCATTTATGTGATAGTGTTTGACAGAAACAATAGGGTCAAGTTCTTCTGTCATGCTTGCTGGGAAAAATGTTGCTCAAATAGGCTTACTCAGTTATCTTTATCCCAAAAAGAGACTGAGGAGACTGTTTAGCTTCCTTTATTCAAATAAAGTCAATAGGAACAGTCCCCTCAGGGTCTCTCAAAGTTTCTGAGAAAACAGACTCCTCTTAGCTCTACTTCCCAGCCACATTGACCCTCCTGCTTTCCTCATTGGCTGAAGTGCTTGGAAATTACAGACTTCCCAGTCCAACTGATACATGTTCCTCCTTGTATGTGACCCCCCCTTCATATCATGCATAATATATGTAAGTAACTCCAAATTTATGCTGGAGTTAATAGGAGGAGTTCGCAGGGTGTAGAAGTTAATTAGGCTATTCATCCTATGTAGTAACTCCAACATCCGTAAGTTCAAGTTGTCAATCAAACTTCATAACTGAATCTTATTTGGTGATAGTTTACCAAGTAAGTACAGAACACAAAGTGGAGAGGAAGTTGTAAGCCTCTTCTCAACTTGTCTCCAAGGACACCTTGCTCCCAAGGCTGTTTTATCTCATGCTATTTCAAGTGCAAAATAAAACAATTATTTCCCAGTAACTCATTTTACCATTGCTTTTACAGTTCATCAGTCTGTGTGTTAGCTGGAGAGGTGAAGAGGATTTCTTTATAGAGTTTACAAAACATCTCTAGAGGGGTTCTCACAGCATAAACTATTAATTTTTGTGTCAGAAAAGCAGGTGAAAAAAATCACTAGCCATGTCTCTGAATTTTGTGTTCAAATATTGTTATTTTGAAAATTTTACTTCTTTCTTGTCTTACAGATATTCGTTAATTTTGCTACACAGCAGCAAGGAATCTCAGATTCTTCACAAGAATCTCCCACTGTTCCTCAAGACCACCTGCCAGTTTAGGATCAGAACAGGATACAGTTTCAACAGCACGTGTGCATATATGTGTTTGAACGTATATAAATACACATTTTATATGCAGTGAAAACTTTCAGCTGTTAACTGTTTGTGACTGAGTGAGAAGCATGTAGTACGAGCAGAGGTGAGCTGGCATTTGTAGGCCAAAAGGAATGTTATCAGTTCTCAGTAATGCAAGAGAGTAGTGACCTGCCAACAAAAACTCTGCCAGAAAGTAATGCTTTGAAACTAACTGCAATTTTATAATAAAAAGGGCCAAATTAATGCATCTTTGCATAACGTAAAAAGACTGGTCTGAAATGTCACTGTGTACAAGTGCATTTTCTTTTGGTAGTAGATCTATATTCATTCAAATGCTGTAATTTTCTCTTGCATGCGCACTTAGTTGCTAATTTTTATGTGACAAGTCAAGAAAAACTAATCAAATAGTAGAAATTGCTAAGCTATCACCTGACATTTGTATTTAATAGGAAAAATTGGGAGCCTTTTGACTTTTGCATTAATTCAGATCTGTGTTGTGACAAGTTAAATTAGCCTTTTTATTGCATAACGGATGCACTGTATTCCACGAGGATTTATGTTGAATAGGGTATTAGTGTACTAGTCTACCTCCTGGTTATGTAAAGTAAATTTAATAAGCTTTCATAAATCATACTTGACAATGAGTTTTCCCTTATGCCTACAGGTTGTTGCTGGAGAATTCCTAAGCATCTCTTTAATAACCTATTTCCTTTTTACCAACTTTTTCTTTTCTTCCCTTTCGCCCCCCCCCCCCCCCCCCCCCCCCCAAAAAAAAAATCTGTTTTAGTATTATGCTAAAAGAAATAAGCATTCAGACATTGATCAATAAACTTTTCAATAAATGTGTATTATGGTCTTATGTACTGCATATAAGGTCATGCCAGGGCATTCAGCCCATACATGTGTAAATGAAGTAAAGATTTAATGACTAAATACTTGTGTATGGCACTGGGAGAAAAAAAAATAAAAAAAAATATTGAGGAAAATTAATCATTAATCATTGAAAGGGCTTGGAATGTAGAATCTACGGTACAGTGTCACAACTCTGCCATGTTCCTCAAGATCCAAAGCACAGAAGAACCGTCAAATCTGAGCAGTCACCACACCAGTAGAGATACAATAGGATGGTCGTGTTCAAGATGAAATTCCTTATCTTTAATTTCTGCATGAGGCTTGGAGTGTGAAGATTCCATCAGAACAATAATGGTTAGTATTACAAATCAGTGTGAAAGAATCGGAGGGTGAAAGAAGACAGACACTGGAAATTTGGGCAGAAATGGGTATGTTATCATAAAACTATACTGCTTAATGTCAGGATCTTGGGGATCTACAGGATCTACAAAGCACAGCCAGACATTCTTCAGTCATAATTTGAATTTACTTAACAGGTGAAAGTTTCTGAAACTCTTGCTGGGATGGAAAAACAGGAAGGACAGCATGACAAGAATTTGTGTTACAGAGCTTTTTTTTTTTTCTTCCTGTTCATGTGGTTAGATCTGTAAATTAGTGACACAGTTTCTTCTCTTTTTTTCCTTCTTTCATTCTCTCTGTTTCCTTCCTTCCTTCTTTCTTTATCACTTTCATCCTTCCTCCCCCTTCCTCTCCTTTCCCCTTCCTTCTTTCCTTCTCTAATCTCTGTCTTTCAACTATTCCTTAAAAAATAAACATATGTGAGGAAATTAAATGGATGGATTCAGGACAAGAGATAGTGTCAGTTCCCTGAGCATAAGGAAGCCTAGTCAAAAGATATAAAATCATGAGAAGGGAGCGTATTTCTGCCCAGGAAGTGGGCCAGGGAGTTGAATTAATATAACAGTCCTGCTTAGGTCAATGGAAGCATAAAAGAATACAGGACTTGCTGTCGTGAAACTCAGAAATGATGGCCTACCTGAATGTGTAGATAGAGGAACTTTTTCAGTGTTTGGCGGTGTAACACTAATTAAATGTCATTTTTCTCTGATTAAAACATGAAAGATTATATTGCTCTAATAGATGAATATGGTAAATAAGGTTTACTCCAGACTGATAGTTGAGTAAATCCAGTTAACAGTGTTTTTCTTTTTTTAAATTGCTTCATATGCATCTCAGGAGACCCAATTTAATTCTGGCAAGTAGCAAACAATGTTTGTCTTCCAATCCTTTATAGTTGAAGAAGGTCAAAATCTAATTGACTTGCAGTGTACTGGTTTTTGTCTCAGAGGGCATTTTCCCTTTCCTTGACTTGCTGCATTCCTGAAATATGTAAGTTTCAAGAGCACTTTTTGAAGTTGCTTTTTCTTTTTTTTTTAATTAAAAAGTCCTAAACTTGTGGACAGACGTTAACATTTGCATGTTAATGATGAAAGAGTCCTTGAATTCACAGATCATGCAGAAATACCTCTTCTTCTAATACCCCTAAGTTCTGAATCAAAGACATCTAGGGATTTTAAACAATAACTTCTGTTGTGAGATTTTAAATAGAGATGGTTCATATTATTTCAGCTGTAAATTTCTCTGTGAAAAAATACCCTTCACCCTGACTGCTAAACTGATGTTAAGTTCAAATTTAGAAAATCAACTGAGTATCTCAAATGTCAAACTGAGGAGACAGTTTTCATATTTTTGAGAGACTAATCCACTATGTAAGTCAGCAGAGGAGCTTCTACCAACCACAGAGTAGATTGTTTGAGGCCCTAGCTTAGTTTATGTAAAATTATAGAATAAGATGGGCAAAAATAAACTGTAGGTCTAAACCTTAGATCAAAGAATCACAAGTTCAATAAAGAAAGAGGAGTGTTTGGAGTAGTAGACAAGATCGCAAAACTCATCAAGTGAAGTTTTTTATCCTGCCTCATATTTAATTTCTGTAGATTTCTGCAATGAAAAGAAGGAATTTAGTTCCTGGTTTGGTTCAGTCGTGACAAAAATGATGAATTTTACTCAGATTAGAGGAGAATGTGATTTCCAGCAGAGCCCTTTGAGCTTGTTTGTCGCTGTGAAATCTGGGATCTGAAATCTCCTTAACTGTGGAGTTGAGTCTGACTCTTGTTGAAACTGCTCAATTCATAGATCAGTCTAAACCTAATTTAGGTAAGAATATTACTTCCCTGGTCTTTTCCTCGTAAGTAGTAAAGCTTACAGTTTATTTGATTCAGCCAAATGTGATTTAATCCATTTGTATCAACACTTTCAAATTTTCTTTCTAAAGAATAGGGAGATCAAAGCTAGCAATGTGAATATCTCTCTTTAAGTGATTGACAGTAACTAAAGAGAAGGCGCTTCCTGAGTTGCATGTTAGGTACTTGCCAGTAAAACTAATGCTTCAAGTGCAATGAAGTAGGGCAGCAAGTGTGAAGCAGAAATTGCAACTATCTTGTTCTTGCAGAGGAAGCAATAGCCTACTGTTTTCTCCAGGTAAGGTTCTGCT